GACTGCTTGGTCCCCCCCCCCCTCCCCTTTCCTCCTGTGGGAGTGGACCTCGTGCTGAGCTTCAGCTCGGCGAGGCCAGGCCTCCTCACGCATGAGGCAACGACTCGTCGGGAATCGTCTCCTTTTTCGCTCTCGTTCGTTTTTGTTTCGCGCATCCTGCTCGCCGCCCTCCGCCGCCACCCTCCCTTTTCATGTCTTTATGCTTGATGGTCATACCTTACCCACCCTGGGCGCCGGCCTTCAGGCCCTTCCCTGCTGTACCTACCTACCTACCTTGGCTACCCAGGTACACCTACCTTCCTAGGTGCCTTAGGTAGGTAGGTAGGTAGGTAGGTAGGTACCTTACCCTGGTCCTTTTCCGTCGCTAGTCACTCGTCGCTCGTTACTGGTCAACGGCCGACGGCCAAGCCAGTGAGGCAGGCAGGCTGGTGGAGGCATGCAAGTGTCGTCCGCAACGCAAGCCATCTGCGCCTGCTCACTACTCACTCACATTGGACTGACCTGCATGAACACTGACCCCGGTTCCTCGCCGTCCGTAGCTGTCGAGAGTGCAGCGGTACCAAGCAGATTGGCTTCACCCGTTACTTTTCTCGCGTCTCCCGGTCGTCTCTTCTGTCTCCCTCGACATCCTTGGCTCTGGCTGCCCATGCATTTCCCATCTCGAGTCCTTTCTAGCCTTCACAGTGAGGTAGCCGGGCGCCTCAACCGCGGACCTGATTTGCCGCAGTGCCCAGGGCCACACACACAGCCTGCCCACCTACCGAGCGTAACTACCCAAGGTACCAAGTAGGTATATGTCAATCCAGCCGTCACTCATCGTTACCTGTCTAGGTACTATTGTTCTGCTGTGGAGAAGACTGTACCTCCTCCCTTGGGGCATCTGACCGTTTCTTATTCAACCTTTCCCCGGACGGCTTCCCATATCTCCGAACGACGCCTGACGCCATTAGGGTCGACCTGGAGGACAGACAGGCAGGCGCTACGGCAAGGACGCCGACGGTGAAGGTGGTACCTGCGTTGCTTGGCCTGGCCTCTTCTTTGCCTTTTCCTCTCTGCCTTCCATCTCCAAACTGATATAAACACCACGCCCACCCGCCCGGCTCACTCTCTCACTCATACATACATCGGTGGCAACCCGTCCGCCAGCCAGTCCCGGTCTCCTGTCCTATCTCCTCACCGCCACTCTGCCTCTGTATCCAGACACGGTACGGCATCCGTACTCGGTAGCCCCAGAGCCCACTCTCGCCGCTGGCCTAATTCCTGCCCGAGTTCCGTCCAATCCCACACCCACACCCCCCTTCTGCAGAACTAGAACAGCCTACCACGCGACCCCCGTCCATGCGCATCTCACACCAGGGCAGTGTCGTATCCATCTCATCCTTGACCCTCCGTCTCCGGCACCCAGATCTGAATTCTTCGCCTTGTCAAGCTCGCCTGCCGGATCCTGTGTTATTAGACACCTCGGAGCCCTGGCTCCAAGCTGGACACGAGTAGCCAGTCATCCGTGACAGCTCGCATCTCGACCGCACACATCCCCCTCCCTCGACATGGCTTTTGCCAGCGGTGCCTCTGCAGGGCCTTCATTCCATGCCCAAGTAGGACACGGCCTCTCCTCCTTGGTTCTCATGTGGCCTAGAGGCAGACTGCTGACAAGGCTCGTAGGACCCCAACTTTGACATTTTCGACTGGTACAACCACTTCCAGTCCTGCGTTCGCTACTTTGTCGATCGTGCCCAGTACGACCCCCCCGTCCAGGCGGTGGCTGCCTTTGTCAACATCCGGCTTCCCTACCAGCAGCACCCGAATCCCGTCTTGTCGTTCAAATCCGCTCCATCTTCACCTGCCGCGGCCGCCGCGTCAGCGCACTACCCCTCGGCTCCCAGCAGCAGCCGCGGAGGCCCCGGCCCCTCGGGCTTCCCCCCCTCCTTCGGCGGATTCCAGGCTCCCGGCTCCGCCCTCCCCAACACGGCAGTATCCCCCATCCCTTACATCCCGTCGTCTCGTCGCCACGGGCTTCGACTATCCTGCCATTCTTCATGGTTTCTTTGGCGACGACTGGGTGGCCGGTGTGGGGCGCCTGCACGAAGCCGAACGACGAAACTACCTCTTCGCCGCCAAGAGTCGCCCTTGGCTGAGCGTCAAGGACTCGTACGATATGGCGGATGGCCAGTACACGCCCTTCCTGCGCCCGTTGCAGGAGCCATCTGAGAAGGAGATTAAAGCAGCAGACGCCGGCTGGAGTGAATGGCTATCCGTTGCCGACCGCGAGTGGACCGAGTGGATGGCCATGGAAGACTGGGTCCTCGGCCCACGCGCACCTAGGGGGGCCGGGCCACCAGGCAGAGGTATCAAGATCGAAGATGATGAGTGAGCAGGGGCTTTCTGTTGGCGTAATGTGGGACGAGCTCATGGGGTGGCGGCATCGGAACGAGATCACCTTTGTGCTCGAGATCACCTCTAGGCTCTCGTCGACCAGGACGCGGCGTTTTTTTTTGGTGGACCTAGCAACAACACTGACCTGGAGTCAGATGAACACGCGGGCTCAACTAGTGTACATTGGGCATGGGAAAAAAGAGAGCCTGAAATCGGGCGGCTGTATCATATATCGATCTTCATTACCTATTTCTTGGTGGATTAGTTCACAATCTTGACACATAGGGTCGTTGGAACGCCCAGGCGGACTGTGTTCAAGTTATGAGACCGTGCGATGCAACCCTCCTGATTGAGCGCACTATGGCTATAGCCTGATTCGAGATCATGTCTTATCGCTTCGTGAAATCTGGCTGCGAGTCGATGCGAATAGTTTCTTTTCTGACGCCTACAGTGCACTGGACTATGGTATTTCATGAACGACAAGCGCCGCATCCCGTCTACTGTACCGTTGAATATCACACGCCCCTCGCACGGCTCGCTTGGCGAGCAGTTCACCGCTTCTTCTTCTTCGACAATCTCTTTTGCGCCCTCAGGTCCTTTTTCATCCTCGCGTCGACAATGGTATATCTGCCCTTGACACCCTTGGGTCGTCCCTTGACACCACGGTTGAGGCCTGTGCGTGGTTAGCATTCGTGTCACGGCAAGCCCCGATGGAAAAGAAGCAAACTCACCCTTGGCGATGACGAGCGTGGGCTGCGGCCGCCTCTTGACCTGTCCCGCCTTGGCAATCATCTTGGCGATGGTGCTCGCCTTCTCCTTCTCCGTGAGGCCCTCCTCGTTGACGAGCGAGTCGGTCTTCTTCTTGAGCTTCTCGTAGCGCTGCGCCGCCTTGAACTTCTTGCGCGCCTTGGCCTCGGCCACCTTTTTGATCGGCCGGGCGTTGTACGCGCGCATCTTCTCCTTGATGGCGTCGGCCGCCGCCTTGGTGATGGGCTTGTGCGGCTTGTCGTGCCTGCCCTCGTCGTCCATGAACCACTCAGGCAGGCCGTCGCGGTCGCGGAAGGCATGGCGGTTGAAGCCGTCGTCGACGAGGTCGTGCGACGTCTTCTGGCCCGTCGCCAGCTGGTGCGCCAGCGTCATGGCTTCGGCCGTGATGATGTCAATGTCGAGCGTGCCGTCCGCCTTCTTCTGGTCGGCGGACCAGTCGGCCTCGTCGTCGCCGGCGGGCGCGGGGCGGCCCTCGGTCTCGCTGTCCGAGTCCGAGTCCGTGTCGGGGGCGTCAACGGCTGCCGGCACTGCCGCCTTGCTGCCCTTCTTTGC